ATTCAATTAAATTTATAAGATTAACTAAATACTACAATATGGGTGTCAAACGAAAGGTATAATCACACAATTTCTTCAAAGGTGTATTAATTCAAAATTTGTCGTTTTTTATACTGTGCGTAAAAAATATTCAAAGACCGTATTTATCTTCCATATAACTACATTAGGGTTGTCCTTAAAAAATCAAATGAACGAATTTTTCAGTCTCACCTCCTCAATCGGTAATACCATGGTCACAAATATCACATACAAATTTTGGTCCCGATTAGAGACTCAAAATATTAAAATTAATTTTTTTCTCATCTAATACCCAAAATCGATACTACCATAGTCGAAGATATCACATATAAATTTTGGTCCCGATTGGAGTCAGTTAAGGCGTGTCGTAAAGGGGTCAAAGCCAGATGCCTCTATGGACTCAAAAAATTAAAAATATATATTTTTTTCATTTAATCCCTAAATCGATACTACTAAAGTAAAATATATCACATATAAATTTTGGTCCCGATTGGAGTCGGTGAAGACGTCTTCATAGGTAATCTGAAATTTGACCCCTGTGCGACATGCCTTAACCGAATTCACTAGTATGTATATATTTATGTACATAGGTTAGAATACGTTCACTCGTAGGCCGCATAAATCCATTGTGATGCCCAAAAGAGGGTTTTCCCAACCCTAATTTCTTTTTGAACCATCCTGATTTTCTTGCGAACTGCTATCAGACCCACTATTGAGGTTTACTCTAAGCTATCGAAGCACTGGTCCCCCAAGAAATTTGAGGCATTTTCTTTAGAGGGTAGAGCACTGGCATAGAAAAGGAACAATTTCCCTTATTTCAATAACGATTCTTTCCTTTAGGTTCCCAACTTGCCTTAAGATGTCCATTTCAGGGCCGGGTACTTGACTATTAGCTTTTTCTCTAAAACATATATCTAGGTTACTGGAGGGTAGCTGACACCAAATGTTGTATACAAACTTTACCTTTCTGCCCAGTGCCCCACTAGGCTTCTTAGCGAACGCTAGGTAGAAGAGCAGTTAACTAAACAGCATCTATCTAAAATCTATTTCAATTTCCATCCGATGAACTTATGGAATTAAAAATTTTCATATTCCTAATTAATCTCAGTACTTAGTATTTCAATACTTGCATATATTTTGTACTTACTAGTAATGATAATAAAGCTGTCCAATTTTGCTTGCAATTTCGCCAATTTGCCAACGCTTCAGTCCGTACTTCGAGTCCAATACCATGCGATGCTGTTGTTGGAATTTCCATAATTTCGTATACACGTCAAATGTACGCCCGAAATACGCCTGCCACTGTCTATGTCCATATTGTGGCAGGTCTCTGTGTTGTTTTATGAAAAAAAAAACACAAAAAATTTTATTTACATAAATTAATATATTTATGTTAATAATTGCAATAATTTCACTTACCTGAGGCCATTGAACAGTTGCTTTGATTTTTCGAGCAAATGACAAAACTCCAANCACTTACCTGAGGCCATTGAACAGTTGCTTTGATTTTTCGAGCAAATGACAAAACTCCAGTACTAACTTTCGATCCTGTTCTTCTGTGGATTCCATTTTCACCATACCGTTTCAATTGTAATGTGTTATGTGTATTTTATTAAGGAGCTGAAAAGAATAGATAGTCAAATGCAGAGTTGAGTGAATGTAAGGCCAAAATTGACTACAGTAGAGATTAATTGAAAAGATACGAATATTGGTTATTGGAATATACTTAGTCGTACAGCTAAAAATTCAATACGCCAGCAGTTGTACAATGCGCGAATAAAAAGTGTTTGTGTGCAAATATTTTTTTTTTT